GGCCCGCGGAGCGGCTCGGGGGGGGGCTGGGATGGCTGCGCGCAGACCCCTGGCCCATCACCGCACGCTGGCTTGCGACACTTTGACCGAGCGGATAGTTCGCAAACGTGACGGTCCCACGCGCTCGAAGAGGACTAACAATCGATTCCCAAGCACATGCGGTATGCCTTAGCGCCCACAGGAGTGTTGATCATGTCCAGTGCCATGCTGCAAGAATGTCATGGGTCCCCCCCGAAGGGCCACCCGCCGCCCCACTGTTGCCCGAAGTATTGTAGACTCGGTCGCGCCAGCACAGGCAGCACAGGGCGGGGACCGCTGGCAGCGCGATCAGATAATGCATGCGGCGCGGACGGGGGCTGCGAGGGAGCAGTTTCTCATTGCTGTCAAGGAGGGGCTTGCGCGAGCTTTCCCTTGCGGCTAAAGGATCGCGCGTCGTTTGATGTTATTTGCGAGACATTGGAGCAGACAGAGTCTCGCCGCGGCAGTCACGCCACGGCAGTCCGCGAATCGCGCGCGGAATTTGCTGAATCAGCTGACTGCTCTTCGGGGCACTCGACTTTGTTGTTCGGAGAAGGGTGTGGAAGGGCTGGAGCCGGACAAGTTAATCGATGCCGTATTCTTCTCAAGGAGCGACGCAAGCACGCCAGAAAGCACGGTGGGGCTTTTGACCGAGGCGCGGGAGGCGCGGGGGCGCGGGCGCCCCGCCGAGGCCGCGCGAACCGCTGCGCACTGCCGGCGCTGCGGACGGCTTGCTTGCATGGCCCTGCCTCCCCCGCGGGTAGGCCGAGGCGCTGAGCTCGGGGCGGGGATGGGAGCTTCTGAGATCAAGTGCGAGACACGGCGCCGCGATCTGGAGGTCCAGGATTTCCCTTCTGAACGCAGCGACGCCATGCCGGAAGTGGGCGAGAGCGATTTGAAGCGATTCCAACGATATGTCAGGCGGGCCCCACGACGGAAACAAGTTCTGACGGGAATTGCTCCACTCCAACTTTGGCACATGATCCCCTTTCCCAGTCGCGAGATCAAGACGCGCCCGGACGATGCCCCCCCCCCCCTTCGAAAATATGCTCAGATGCAACGCTTTTTGTTTCCCGATCGAGCTCGGATCCTGGAAGTTTAGCCAGTTTGACGCCGCGCCCCAGCATGGGCGCGCCAGCGATGGCGCGGCAATTTTTTATATATATATATATACACACACATAGATATTACATCGCGCCTTGGACCAACAGGTCGGCGGACTGCCCGCGCGCGCCCCCCGGCGCCGGGCAAGGGATCTCACGCTTCCACGACATTGGACGGTCGCGGCTTTTGTGGAGGCCGACGGCGAGAGAATGCCACGCTGTCTGCGCTGCAATCCGGCTGGCGGCCTCGCGCGCGCAATCAGACGCGCGTCATTCGTCTTGCGGGCCTCGCGGATGCATCGGTTAGGTCGGGCCGGCAATTCATGGGCAATGCCGTGGAGCTGGGCGCCCGCGAAGAGCATCGCGCGCTGCGCCGCCTGCGATGCCGCCAGGGAGTCGCGTCTCCAGAATCCTCGGACCGCCCACTTGCGCCGAGGCCCAGCGAGGGGGCGCGACGAGGGACCCTTCCATATTGTAGCTTACTTTGCGTAAGAATTTACGCCGTGAGTTTCGCGGCGGAGCTTGATGGCACTCGCAAAATTACCTTGCGGTCGAGGCCTCGCGGCTGAGCGGGGTCCACGTTGAGCTTGTTGAAGAGTGATTATGCGCGCCGATGTTCCTTGAAAATTTTCCATGCCTCCGAAGTTTCAACCTCGAACGGGCACGTGGGTAGGATCCGCCCGTCGGAAGAATGTTCGGGCGAACAGCTCGAGCGCCGCGGTCGCCCGCCGAATGCAAGCGAACAAGATTCTCGTCATTTTCAGAGGGCGGGCAGCATGACATTCGAACAATGCTTAAGAGCCCCCCAGCAACGCTGTCTCAAGGTGAGGGTTCTGGATTCGGACAGATACATTTGGCACGGCGCAGCGCGCCGTCGCACGTTGCCCGGCGAGCGCGTGCGGCTCGCTGTTAATTTCGCTCTCTCGGAGCCATCGGGACGACGTCGCTCCCGTTCCAGTTCAAACGATGCTCGCTCCTCTGCCTTGTCCTCGACGCGCTGCTAAGTGGACCCGAGAGTCATTGCGTCATTTCGTCATTGCGCAGACAGCTCGCGCGGTGCTGCTGAGCTTCCACGCGGCGGTAAACTGCGGCCTGGGATGGTGACCACCCTGTAGGTATGACTGACCACCAAGTCCTGAGGTGGTGGCAGCTTGCGTCTTGCTGGATAGCGATGGTCCACAGGCGCCCCAAGATGCGTCAGAGTCGGGCTAAAGACCCTGCCTCCAACTCCCAGGCCCTGGGATCTCTCTTCGGGGAAGTGGAAGTTGATCGCGCCCCCCCCCTTTCCCCCAGTCAATGGGCGCCCAGCGGACTGTGCATCTCCATGGATCCATCAGCTGCGCGCTGATATGAAATATGCTACTGGAATGTCACATGGAGGCATTTTTGAAACGCTAGCTGCTAACATAGATCTGCGTAGGGATGGCGACTTTATCAACGCATGTTGCAGAAACGACGTTGCAGTTGCGCGCGCCAAGATCTTCTCGGCCCAGACCCCCGGCCCCCCCCTCCGCTTCGAGCCCCCCTCCCCCCCGCCTTTCGAGGGGGCCAAAAGCTCTGAGGAGGACTCGGAGAAATGCGGGCGCTGGGTCATCGCGGAGAGAGCCTTTTGCAATTGCCTGTCCGCGAGTAAGAGGGCACTGCTATATCGCGCTCGAGGGTCGCGCAGCCGTCGCTCCCCGGGACATTTCCGCGCTCGCTGTCGCCGGCGCGACCAGGAGGGGCGCCGCGTGCCACCGGTCACGCTCCGTGCGCCGACGCCACTGCGAGACGCGAAGGCCCGAGACCCTGAGAGAACAGACCGAGCTCGGGAGCACGGTCTGCCCCTGCCGTTTTCACTGCAGCTCGAGCGCAAACGATGTCTGCGGCCGCATTGCAGGGCATCTGCCCTGGCCGCTCGAGCCCTTCTCGCCCCCGGCGAGCGCTTGCCCGTGGATGCCCGACGGGGGCCGGCGCATCAGCGGCGGCGCCAGGGCGGCCCGGCTCCGCGAGGAAGCGCGCGGCCGAGCGACGAGCGACCCGGACAGGGACGAGGCGAAGAAGTCCGACCACAAGACCAAGGTCCGAGGCGGGAATTTCATGACCACCGCTTGGAGGATCAGTTTTCGGGGACCTCGGCAGGCGGTGGACGTGGACATGCAGATCGGGCCCCCAGGGGCCAAAATGCATCCATATCCACCGCCCGCCAGGGCGCCGGGGCGTCCGTTCCCAGGCGGTGGATATGGATAAATCCCCGCCTCGCGCAAGGGCAGCGCCGCAGGAGTCGACGGTCAGGTCATCAACTTAAGGCGGGCTGGCACTCGGCAGCTCTCGCGAGCTGGCAGACCTCTCGGCCGTCAATTTCGCGCGCTTCGCAATCGAAATCGCGGCAGCTGCGAGCATGGCCACGGCAACGGCGGCAGGAGGCAAAGCGCGCGAAGGCGAGTCGAAGGCCATGAGGGCTGAGGTCGAGAAGGACGACAAGATCGATTGGAAATCACCCGGACCGCCTTCCTACACATCTACATGGCCATGCGCGAGCGGATGGCAGGGAAGGGCGCCGACCTCAGGCCCGCAGCCTCGCCGCACCGAGCAGAAGAAACGTTCAGACGCGATGTGCAGCCTGTTCGAGGACCGCCCGAAGCACATCACACTCGAGGACATGGGCAATACTACGGCGCTGCACTGTCGCGTGAAAGTGCAGAAGAATCAAGAGGGCAAGGGACAGAAGGCGACGATATTGCTGAACTTGGACTACAACACCTACTGGCCTCGGTCATCTCTCTAGCCGCCATGTAGATGATCGAGATCGCGGGCGGCAGGAAACTGATCGACGCGGCTCCACGGGGGCCCTTGGAGAGAAACATCTCGCGGATGCTCGACGACGCTTACGTAGATAACTTGAGAAGTAGTGGCCGCCTGGCCGATATGATTGCGGTGGTCGTGTAGACCCGAATTCAGTAAACAGCGCTGTTAGCAATCGTGCAACAACTGATAACAATCCCGCCCTGCCCGCCCAACATGCGGTGGCTCCTGTGGCAAGGTAAGGGCAAGGGGAAGGGAAGGGGTGGGCGGAGTGGCGTGGATGGTGTGGTGTGGGGGGGGAACTTGACTCTTCAGCAGACCTGTGCCGAGAGTGCTGGCCCCTCTTTCGGGGGTTGCTTGCCTCCCTGGGTCTCCAGCTATGCCAGTGCCATGATTGAGTGGTGTGCAGCTGGCCTCTACTCAACTTGCCTCGGCTTCGTAGCGAGCCTCCCAATAATCCCGAGTAACTTTGATACGAGTCCGTGCCGGATATGCGCCAGATGGTCAAATCCAGCGGATTCCACGGGTTTTGACTCTTGAGTATTGAGGTCGAGCAGCAGCAGGGGAGGAGCAGGAGGAGGAGGTGGTAGCGGACGAGGGGGAAGGATGATTATGGCAATGACGAGAAACGAGTCGGATCCAGAAATGTCGCCCGCGTTTGGGCAAGAGCGCCAATCTCGAACGACGGAAACACCACACCGATTCGGACATTCGGTCAACGTCGCAGGGATATCACAGTTCTGAGTACCGAAGACGTTCCGATCAAATCGTACATGTGAGAGACTTGTAATATTCATGGTGTGAGAAAACCATGAAGGGATGGGTCAACTGTGGGGCGCTGTCAGGGGAAGGAAGGGGGATGCGGAGAGGGGTGGGCAAGGGGCAGGGGGGACGGGGGCAGGGAGGGGGTTGGGGTAGGAGGAGGGTGGAGGTAGACGGACCCAGAAGCCTCCAAAGGTCCTGGAGGTCCCCAGGGGTTTCCTGCGGCTTCCAGAAACCCAAAGATGACCAAAGCTGGCACCCCGAAAAGCCTGGATCCTCGATTCTCCTCCTCCTCCTCTTCCTCCTCCTCCTCCTCCTCCTCCTCCACCTTGTCTCAAGCCAGTGCTTGTCGTGCCGTCGCCGCAGGGCGCGCAGGGCTTCCGGGCGATGCCGCCGCGTCGCCAGTCCCCGCGCGAGCGCACGAGCATGGACGCCAAGCTTGTGGTGCAGAACACACTCATCAACGCTGTCCCCAAAGACTCCGACGAGGTGATCCCCCGCACGAGGTCGGAGCCCTACCCCAGTGGTAGGCCGTCTGAGCTTTGCGTGGACATGTCGGAGGAGGGCGGCCAGGGCCCAGACCTGGTCGTCCATTCGGCGCCTCAGGACGACCACCCGTTGGCCTGGCTGACGCCGACGCCGCCGCCGTCGCCGCGCCAGATGGGGACTTGGTATTCGGAGGGCGCCAACTACAGTCAGGTACTTTCGCTTAGCGTGTCGCTCCGCCAGTTCTGGCCCACCACGGTTCGGCGCCACATGCTATCCACGTCCGCATTCCCAAGCGTCAACTTCCCAAGCCTTTCCCATACACATGCGACCAGCGGAGCAGAGCGACACCCCATCGGCTTGCAAGGCATAGCGCGTCGCCGGGGAGTTCCCGACCGTATGCACTCACACCGATCCCGGGCCCAGGATGAGCCTGGCCAGGATCGGTGTTGGTGTATCGTTGGCGCCCTACTAGGTACGGTGAGCCCAGGGAGGCCCCCGAGGACGTCACGACCCTGGCCTTCGTGGAGGCGCCGGTGGAGGCGAGCGCCGGGGCCCCGCAAGGAGGCGCCGGCGCCGCAGGCGCGCCCACCGACGGCCCAGACGGCGAGGCGATCGAGGGCTGCGCCGCCAGCGCGAAGCCAGGGTGGAGGACCTCCCTGAGGAGCCTCCGCGGGAAGGGCGGCTTGTGCGGCGGCAGCGCGCTCGGCAGAACCCCCACAGCGACGCTCGCGTTCTCGTCCGAGAGCACAGTGGCGTCGGGCCGGGGCAGGAGCGCCAGCCCGAACGTCATCCTCTCGGAGCCCCTCGGCTGCCAAGTGCCCCTGCCCGCGTCGCCGGTGTTCTGTGGTATGGTCCCAGTCGCCGTGCCCGTGGGGAGCGGCGTGGGAGGCGGCGTGGTGGCGCCAGTAATGGTGCCGGCAGAGGCGCTGCTGGCGGCGGAGACGCCGGCACTGACAGCAGAAGCACCGCTGGTGGCGGGCGCGACGTTGCCAGAGGCGAGCGCGGCAATGCCGGTGGCGCTCGGTAGCAAATCATGGGAGCCTTGTACATGTTCGAACTTACGGGCGCAGTAGCGTCGACGGGCGTCCAGTAATCGATGTGAGCCGGCGTGGGCTTCAAATTGTGTGTGTCCTAGCAATCCTTGTTGTGAGCTGTTTTGTGGAACAATCTGTGTGGTGCAATCCACGTGGCGCAATTCACCCTGCCGAACTTGAAGTTGTCGGCTCCACTGCTCGTGCAATCATCCCACCCACCCACCCGCAAGTTGGTTTGCAAACCCGTGCGGTTGCGATTGCAAAGACTGCTTGGCGCTGGCTGGCGCATCGTTGCGGCCGCGCTAGCGCGCGCAGGCTCGCGCGCAGGGCGGCCAGCTAGTGTGGCGCGACCGACGCGGCCGCGGTGGCGCTGACCCTTGGGGACATCCCAGTGCGTCCCGCAGGCCGCACTGACGCGTGGGCACTTCAGTGCAATGGGCGGGTCGGGCGGGCGCGGTATCATGAAGACGTCGACGACGGCAGACGCGGTTATGATAATAGCGACGTTGGGAAACAGGACGCCGATGACGACTGCAGGGCCAATGACGGCGCCGATGCTGATCACGCTGTTGACGATGATGGCGCCCACGTGTCGGTCATGAAGGTTTTGGAAGGATTTCGACATGCGCGCGCGGCCCACGGCGCGAGTGGTGTTATTTGACAAAGATTGCGACCTCCCCCCCAGCATACGCGCAAGGGCGTCGGAGTGATTATGAGATGCGCGCGCGAGAGGCCCGTTTGGTCGCATCTGACGAACATGATGAGAACCGATTGTTTTCTTTCTCGTGCTACGAATTAGAATAATCTTCGACATGCAAGAGCGCGCGCGCAGACGTTCTGTCGAACAACAGTGTTTCAACACCAAGTGTTTTCTGTTTGACATACTTTCGGGCCACTGGATTCCGAAACCCGTTCGGAACCCATTGTTTGTTGAAGGATTTTGGCGTGCACGCGCGACGACGCCCGCGCGTGCACTTCGCCATGTTTTTTGCAATGGGCCCTTGCAAACTGATGGCTTCGAATCAACGATTGCGCGCATGGTACTGTTCGACGAGTGTGTTGACTGGGGTCGATACTGGCTTGGCTGGGGTGTCAAAGTTCGTATCCAGCACGAACGATCGGGTGGGATCGTGGGTAACTTGACTATACCCACGGTGGAGCGATAATCCGGGGGGGTATGTCTTAATTCTTGTTTAGAAAGAAAAACATGTGTGGAGCAATTGATTCTTGTTCGCAGTGAGTTGTCAGCTCCACTGTTCGCGCAAACGTCCCACTCACCCACCAGCAAGTTTGGCTGCAAAACACATGCGGCGGCGATTGCGATGAGTGCTTGGTGCTGGCCGGTGCATCTATGCGGCCGCGCTAGCTTGCGCATGTGCGCGCGCAGTGACCAGCTAGTCTGGCGCGACCGACGCGGCCGCGGTGGCATTGACCATTTGGCAATTTCCAGCGGGCGTTTCGATGCGAGTCGTCGACATGGGCGGGCGCGGTATCATGGCAACGTAGGCAACGGTAGACACGACGATGATGATAGTGGCGATGCTGGTGACGATGATGACCACGACGACGGCCCGGCCAGTGACGGTGCCGATGCTGATCATGCCGACGAAGATGACGGCGTTTTCGCGTCGGTGATGAAGGTGTTGGAAGGAATTCGACTTGCGCGCGCGGCCGACGCGCGAGAGCGGCCCGCACGGTTTGATTTGACTCGGATCGTGCTCCCTCCCAAGCACGCGCGCAGGGGCGTTCGAATGATTTCGACATGCGGCGTGAGAGGCCCGCGTGGCAGAATTGAGGAAGATGTTCATCAAATCATCTGAGTTTAAGAATGCGCAAGATCGCGAGCGCAGGCTTCTTTGAAAACTGATGTTGGTAAGCCATGGTTGACGTTTTCTTCGCATTCGATTCTGACATCCCGACGAAATTCAAGATTTCCAAACAAGGACTTCGGCGTGCGCGCGCGACGACGCGCGCGTGTGCACATCACCTCCCGCAGCGGAGACTCCAGTGGGCAACCCCCCGAGGTCCAGCGTCGCCGTTTCCAGTTTTCTCGGGGATGTACGAAGTCTTCGCACGATCTTTCGTCGCCGTGTTTTCTCCGGGATTCCTCGGCGTTGTTTGGGGCGCGTGATGCGGACCGCAGTTTGCTCGCGGGTTTCCTTGGAGCGCGTGGCCTCACGGGGGGCGCCACCGAAAGCCTCATCGTCAGGGTTTGCATGTGTCCTTTGGTAAATTTGGGCACGCACACGCACACATCACACGGTTCGTGGCCTCATAGGAAACTCCACCGAAACTCCGCCGTTTCGCGGCGTGCTCTTCAGGAGACTCTAGCAGGCTCTCCTTTGAGAAACTTGTTGCGCAGCCCGCCTTTCAAGGGAATTGTTTAACGGAAGTAAACATTCTCTACCTTCAAATCAAGTGCTCAACCGCTGATTCGCAACAGCAGTCATGAAAACGCGAAATCTGCAGAGTGCAGGCGCGGAAGTAGCTCACGCACGGCGAAGTCAAAGGGGCGGGTGTTCTGTTAATTTCTCGAGGCATGCGATTTGTTTTGTCGTTTAATGTGCACATGAAAAATACGCCACCACATGCCATACGTTGGCTGTGTTTGCTGTCGGTAAGTGTTTTGGCGTGCCGTCGTCGTTGGTTTGTCGAAGAAGTTCACTGAAGGTTTGCGTTTGTTCGCCGTTTTTTTGTCGGGGTGGGTTTCTGACGGGCGCGTCAGGTCGCCGTTTCTCGGTGACGCTCGGTAAGTCGCAAGGGCGTTCGAACAATTTCGACATGCGCGCGCCAGGCAATTGTGGTAGCACTTGATGGACACGTCGAAACAACAATCTGGGCTTCCATACAATACTTCGCAAAGCGCGAGCGCAGCGTGCTGTGTTGTAATGAGAACTCCTGCTGCGAAGCTTTCCTTATAAGCAAGTTGTTCAGGGCACTTCTTGTTGAAAGCCTTACGGAGGCAAAACGGTTTTCGAAGGAGTTCGACGTGCGCGCGCGACGGCAAGCGCGTGCGCGTCTCGTCCCATGCGTTGCAAGGGATTATTGAAATCTGATGGTTTTCGATAAACGAGTGCGCACGCATTGCATTCGTTGCAGATGCCCACGAGGAGGGACGGTCGATGGGCGTCCGCCTGGCATGGTATGAGTTCATATCGAAGGCTCCTACGGCGAATCACCGCCGCCACCCGCGTGTTGGAACCGCCAATGTGGCCGAGCGTTGTGGCCAGAGCTCCGCCAAACTATCGGACCATGTGTTCCCCCAGCCTTTGTGGAAACCTTTTTCCGGAAACACTTGGGGGAGGACGGTGGGGAAGATCAGGAGGAGGAGGAGGAGGTGTTAGAAAATAGCGTTGCGAGTGGGTGAGAAGGATGCGTTCTTGTAGTATAGCAGGGAGCGTAGCGGACACGGTTTGGCTAGGACCGCCCGGCGTGCGTCGACCGACGCCGCTTGGTTCAAGTGCTGATTCCCTCCAGGGAAAAAGGTTACTACAATATTTTCTGGAAGAGGAAGAGGAGGAGGAGGAGGAGGAGGAGGAGGAGGAGGAGGACCAGTGCAATCCCAAGGCTCAGCAACGATATTGGAATACATTCTCCCTCCAAGTTCCCTCTTCTGAGGCCCTTGCAAGAGGTCATGTCCATTGAGGGAATTGCCCCGTTGGGGGACAACCGTGCGAAAATCCTGAAGCGTGCCAGAACACCATTCTCGGGACTTCAACGCCACGAGTTAACCTGACGGTTACTTATTGGCGATCCTGAATCGCGCCAGAACACCATTCCTTAACCGTGGCGCCCCGACAGTCCTGAGTCTTTCCGAAACACCGTTCCTGATGCGTTAACCATGATTATCAGTGAAATTGCTGTAAATGTATACAACGAATGCGCGCGGCGGTGAGGCGAGGGCCACACTTTGAATAAGAACAGCTTTCATTCCGTGCATAGTTTGCAACGTTTTCCAAGGAATGTGCGCGGCGCAAGGTTGAGAGCTACAATTTGAAAGCGACCCGCCATCAATCCGTGAATCTTTTGCAACGTTTAGAAACGAATGCACGCGTCGTTAAGGCGAGAGCCACATTTTGAAAACGAACCGCCCTCAATCCGCGAAACTGTTGCAAAGTGTTCAGACGAATATGCTCGGCGCTAAAGCGAGAGTTCGGGTGACATTCAAAACCGCCCGCCTTCAAATCCGTGAAGTTGTTGCAACTCTTTCAGACGAATGTGCGCGGCGCTCGGGCGAGAGCCACAGTTGGAAAACGACCCGCCCTCAGTCCGTGAAACTTTTGCGAAACCATAGAAGAACACGAATGCTCGCGGCGCTAAGGCGAGAGCCACAGTTTGAAAACGATTCGCCTTCGATCCTCCAGAAGTATTACAAAGGTGTAACACGAATGCGCGCGGCGCTAGGCGAGAACCACAGTTTGCAAACGACCCGCCCTCAATCCGTGAAGCTCTTGCAAATTCTTCCAGCGAAAGTGCGCGGCGCTGAGGCAAGAGCCACATGTTGAACACCTCCCGCCCTGAATGTGCGCAGTTCTCGGAATGTTTTCAACAAATTTGCGCGGCGCTAAGGCGACAGCCACACATAAAAACGGCCCGCCCTCAATCCGTGAAGCTTCTGAGACTGTTTAAAAAGAATGTGCTCGGTGCTAAGGCGAGAGCCACATTTTGAAAATCACCCGCCCTCCACTTGTGAACTGTCCCCCGCGTCGAGGCTTCAGGATCATAAATGGTGAGGAAGTCTGAAGCGAAACGCCTGGCCAGCTCTTTCGACCGGCCTCGGGGTGCGACAGGACGGGGCTATCTATAAGGAAAAGGAATGGAGGAGGAGGAGGCATCTTGGGAGCCTCTGGGGGCACTCCTGGGGCCTCTTGGGAGCTTGCTGGGAGCCTCTTGGAGGCATCTTGGAGGCCTCCTTGTGCCTCTTGGGAGCATGTGGGGAAGCTGCCGTGGGGGCCTCTCTGGGCCGACTTGGGGCCCGC